CTGGAAAGCAGCGACACTCTTTGCAGGACCTGCATCCCCAGCACCACCTTGCATTCCAGGGACAAGGCTCAGGGAACTCCTGTTAAAAAAAAATAGTTTTAATGTTAGGAAGACCAGGACAATTCACAGGAGTTAAAAATGAGGTACCAGTATAAATTCTACCTGCTGTTTGTTTTGGGTTTTTGGTTGGTTGATTTTGGGTTTCAGGGTTTTTGTTTTTTTTTTTTAACATAGACTTCTAGCACCTGGAACTGATGGGGGATGCAGCCCTTCCTGTCTTGGGGCTTGTGTGACTCAGTGTTGGCAAGAAACTTCAGCAGGTGCCACGACTGCTAGCTGCCTGCTGCAGAAAACCTCTGCCTTGTGGCACTTGTCCCGGCTGTCACTGGCTCTCGGAGGGATAAGTTCATCTGATGGGCACGTGTGTAACCACACGCAGCGGGGCACAAGCATCCAGCGTTGGCCCCTTGGCCATTGACTCTCTGCTTCTTGTTGCAGTGAGAGACTAATTTGGTGATTATGGCTCTATATGCTCCTTCCAACATGTGGGATCTCAGTAAGAAGTCACCCAACAGTCAGGAAAGTCTTCTTGAGGAGAGAATCCACTCTGCAAATCAGTTAAAACAACATATCTCTGCTTGGGAACACAGAAGAAGGTGCTTTCTTGGGTAGAACAGTTTTTTGAAATGATCGTGCTGATGCATGTTGCTGTGCACTGTCTTGGGACTGGAAAGGGGTTTTGCTGGTGCTCCTGAAACGCTCTGTTCACGCTCTCCCATGCGTGAGGCCACTTGTGCCAGGGTTTCAGCATGACTTATCACCACCACCACCTTGGTGCTACGGTGCCCGATCAGGTGAAGCAGACCTCATATTCCAGAGCCAATGCCAAGTCTTTCAAGGTATCATAAGTCTTCCAAGGTATCATCCTGAGCGTGTTTTTGAGGCAATTCCCCACTCGCCTGGCCCGTTGCCTTAGACAGAGCCGCTGTAATACACTGGCTGCTGTTTCACAGATCAAGGCAAATCAATCTCTAATTGACTTGTTTATAGCTGCCTGCTGCCCCGCTTGGATTAGGAGGGTTGTGATCTGCATCCCCATCGTGACCTCACTGCTTTTAAAGAGGGCTATAAAAAGCTCCGGGCTCCTATGGGCTTTCCTTGCCCTGCCCGTGTTGGTTCCTGTCACACGCAGCTGGACCCAGCAGGATTCACGCCTGCCACAAAGCACTTCACATTAATGGTGTGGGGCAGCAGAGTTTTCTAAAAACCCTCCAGGCTCTTCTGGGCCACTTTAGTAGTTCCTAAACAGGATAAACAGAGCAGCTTTTCTGTCCCCAGGATTTCCTGTCCCAGCTCTATTCAAAGCCTCTGTATTCCCAGGACCTGTAAGGGGCAGTTCTGGAGTTACTCCACCAGAATCCTGGAGCTCTCCCTCTGGCCTGCCCTCGGGTCCTGCAATGTTGAAGACCTCATGTCCCCGCACCCAAGCGGGCACATGTAGGACCCAACGGTGTTTAGAGGTTGTGTTGCACCCCCTGGTACTGCAGCAGCTCTCAGGCTAAGCTGCCTGCTGTGGTCCTTGTTCTCATGATCATTTTATTCTCTACACACTTAGACTTGAAACCCTCTCTACATATTTTACTCTCTGCACGCGTGGATTTGATACCCCGTCCGTGTGCAAGTTCTGCCTGCTGTTCTGCTTGCTACAGTCTGAGAGCTGTTCTGTTCCAGGGGCATTCAAAGGTAAAAGGAAGCCTAAGTGTACTGGTGTGTGAGAGCATTCCTCAGGGCATCTTCATTTTAGGAGTAGTATCATAATAATTTGGTGCAGCCAAATTGACAGCAAATGAGAAATTTGCTTTGCAAAATGAATCTCTTTTTCTCTTTGGAATATCACTTGATTTGTATCTAGAACCTTCCTAGCTTCTCCCCACCTCTCTCCTCCTTCCTACTGCAGCTGATTTCGTTAGCTCTCTACCCATTCCAATACAGGTGGTATTTGACATTCAAACAGTCTCCTGCAGTTCACCCCTCCAGCCTAGCAATGCTCATAGGTAACTGTCTGCTTGCCCTGTAAAACCAGACCTAAATCGATGCAAGCCCAACGGAAACTACAGCCAGGTCCTTTCCACAGCTGGAACTGCTGGATTTTGGATTCACATTCACGCACCTCTAACCTTCCCAGGGTGAAGCAGAGGCTCCCTAGCTGTGTTTTGGTGCCAGTCCTTCACTGAGGACGGGCGCAGCCCTAGAATCCTGTAGCAATTTCCCAGATATTGATTTGCTCTCAGGTTTACTTCTTCCAGCCCCCCCGCTGCATTTAAAAAATTGCTCCTGTCTGTTGCACGTACACAGCATCCAGCCCCGGGTAAGCTGAGCTGCGTGTGAAATGAT